AATTTAATCAAAATTGGGAAGCATAAAAAAACTAAATGAGCACCTGTAAAACCTGTTCTATAAACATCTCAAGTTGCAATTGATGTATCTGTTAATCCATAACCAAAAATGAAAGAATTTTAAGGAACACTTGCAATGGAAATCAGACTCCACCAAGGCTTCTGGCAAAAATCTGTCACTTGAACAGGACCAGAATTACAGCCCTGGTGTTTTAATTAGAGGTGACCCAAAGCCCTGGCTCTGCAAAAATAAAGCTGAGATCTGAATTTACATTAAATATCCCAGTAGGCTTTCCAGTGTCACATCTGCCCTACATTTTGTGCCTCTGTCTGTGCACTGTACCTCAGAGAGATACAACCAGGTGTATTTTCATCAACAGCGCTCTGCAGATTACTGTGCCTGACTCCCACGGAGGTTATGGAGCACTGACAAGGGGCTGGGTCCCTTGAGTTAACCCTTGCAGAACTGTCTCTTGTTTTGCACATGACACCTGTTTTGCACCTCCTCTGTGAATGCTTAGTGCGTGTTTTCAGTTGTAGGAGGAATCAAAGGAATTGTGAATGTCACGTGTATAGTATAAAAATCCCAAAACTCTGAAAATTTCATTTTTGCAGCATAAGGAATTTGAGAGATGTGTTTGTTTTCTCAAGATCATGTTTGACAGGTGGGATTGTTTATGAATATAAGTCCAAACGCTGACAGAGTAAGAAGCCTCTTCTGCTATGTGTCAGAAAGTTGTGGATGCCCCATCCCTGGAAGTGTCCAAGGCCAGGCTGGATGAGGCTTGGAGCAACCTGGTCTAGTGGAAGGTGTCCCTGCCCATGGCAGGGGGTGGGTTCAACTAGATGATCTTTAAAAGACACTTTTCAACCTAAACCATTCTGTGATTGTGTGACTCTCTAAGTATCTTGTGGGATAAGTCCCTGTCATATGCTATTCCTGAACTGTCCCTGAATGTAATGTGAAATAGCAGCAGTTGATAGAACACACAATGCCTCTCCAGTAGGGAATTCACTGGCAGTGAAATAGCCTGTACTGTGGCATGCCGGAGTCTTAAGAATGTGGCATGGTCTTGTTTTATTTCTTAAAAAAATGTAAAGTGTCTTCATAAAATGATAGCTTTTATGATACTTTGACCGGACAGATTATCAAGGCCCCGGATGGATTTTGTCACCAAAATTAGAGGAAGGGAGATTTGTCCCAGCATTGGGACAGTCACACAAGGTTTGAGGTGGGGATGCCGTTTCAGTACTCCTCCCTAGTGAATATTTTATTTATTCGTAGGAAGCTGAGCGGTGTTAATCAGGGAGCTGTTAGGATATTTGGGAAAGGGTATTTGGAGAAGTGGGAACTTGAAAGGGGAAACTGAATCTGGGTTTAGACATACAAGGCTAAATGGGCCTGCAAGGAAGCTGGGGGGGACTTTTTACAAGGGCCTGTAGTGACAGGACAAGGGGTATCGGGTTTAAATTGAAAGTGGGGAGGTTTAGATTGGATATCAGGAAGAAGTTCTTCCCAGAGAGGGTGGGGAGGCACTGGGACAGGTTGCCCAGAGAAGCTGTGGATGCCCCCTCCCTGGAAGTGTCCAAGGCCAGGCTGGATGAGGCTTGGAGCAACCTGGTCTAGTGGAAGGTGTCCCTGCCCATGGCAGGGGGTTGGAACTGGATGGTCTTTAAGGTCCCTTCCAACCCAAACCATTCTATGATTCTATGATATCAAAGATGCATGCCATAAACAGCAGGCTTGTTGGTTGACTAGAGACAGGTTGGTTGACTAGAGACAGGTGGACATCTTGTTTTTAACCAGACAAGATTTAACTTTATTTTGATATAAAATGGAAAACAAATCTTGAAATCTCAGTAAGCTTCATGAAGTGGGAAAACTGTTTCCCATTCAGATTTACCCTTTTTTCCTACAGTAACACCCCTGAGGGCATTTCTCCATTTGACCTTCTGGAGCACCTCTCCCAGCTGTGTGTTTTCCCCGCTCTGTTTCTGGCTGTGTGCATGTGCAGCACGCCATGTACAGAACGGGGGGTGTGTCACACATTAATACATACAGATAGCCTTCTGCTTCTGACCTTACAAACTGTCCACTTCAGCACTGTCATTCTATGAAATGTCCAACTGCAGTCCAAGAAATGCATTTTAAATTTGAATGCAAACATTTCTATTACTGATAACACCAGCGCAGCATTTTTTTGCTTTGCTGGGATTAGGACCTCGATAGTTAAAGTTACGTTGGAGTAATGACACTCCAAGGTCGTGTCCTTTACTGTCATGGCTAAGGAAGGAAAGGCCTTTGCTATGTTTCTGCTGATAAAATTAAGGATTATTCCTTTTGTTTGGTGGCATATGGGAAAATATATTTGTGACACATAAATATCTTAGGTCGCCAAAAACTGGAAGAAATCTACATGTTGCCCTGCGTGAAATTTGTGTTTAATTCACACTGAAAGCCAGATTTTAGAAGACATTCTGAAATCGGATAATGATGTAAATAAATGCCTCTCTCCACAGTGAACAGCCATCTTCCCACATGAACTGTAAAGCAGCTGCAGTTCAGCTGGGGACATCTTAAACTAAAAAAAAATATAAAAGTACTGTGGTCTGCAGAGGGAAACTCAGGCAATTCCAGTTTAGAAGGCTAACGTTCCAAATCACAACCTCTGTCTGAATATGCTCCATCGTGCTTCACTTTCATGCTCTGTAAAATGGGGGTAATAATCTTTATTGATCTGTCTACCTTTTAGGAATGCATTAAGGAGAACTTAAAGTATATCTTTACAGTGTTTTGAACAGTTTTGATATATGCAGTTCTTACAATACAGCTTAGTAGGTGGACTGGCCATTTTACCAGGTCCTCCCACGGGAGAGCTGCCCTGCTTTTCTTCATGACTTTCTGGTCTTCCCATCCAAACTCCTTCGAACTGGGCAAGTTTGGCAAACTGATGACAACTTTGGCATTTACCAATTGTTGGCTGAGGTGCTGTAGCTAGCCAAGTGTGCTCTTTTCACTCAAGGAGGCAAAGTTGTCACCTTGTTCTTCACAGCTGAGCCTATCCAGAGGCACAGCGTCTGGCTGTGACGCATTAGGACACTGTCACTTGACTGAGCGATATCCTAGCCTAATAAATGAAGGAAGAGGGTGTTTCTCTGACGAGAACCTCTTGCCCCTCCAGCTATGCCTGAGTTAGTTGGATAGGACTGCATGATGCTTTCTTGAGGATGGATTTTCTGGAGTTGTTGTGTATCACCTCTGGTGATTTAACTATGCAAAGGTCTTCACAGATCACTGCTGTTCTTCACAGTTCATTCATGTACCTTTTTCTATGTGTTCAGCAAGAGATTCAGAGTTGTTCTAGTTTTGCCCTCTCAGAAAGTAACTCAGTGGTCAGCCCACAGAGTCAGTGGTGTAATATAAGCAGTCATTTTAGAGCTAATTTTACACTGTGTTTGTTGTACATTCCTCATTGTTGTAATATAAACTAATAGTTGAAATCAACAGAAATGGTATAAGTTTGTTTTGGAGAAAAAAATTGTCTTCAAGTTTCATTAAAAACACTTCTGCCTTTTTTTCCTGAGGAAATAGGTCTTATGGATAGTGCTGTTTATCCTTCTCTCTCCCTTTCCATCCATCCATACCTCCATCCCTACCTAATGCCTTTAAAACAGCTGGCCAATTTAAAAAAAAATTATCAGAAATAAAGAGATCAAAGAAGATGATTAAGCTCCTAATTGGAATGAGAATCACCAGATAAACTGAGGAAGGTTACCCTTTTACTATTCCCACTGAGGAAAAAGAAGAACTCAGCCGTAATCCACCCAGCAGCCAAGTAGGTCTACACTAGTAGCCAATTTATGTGGTAAGGGACGCAGGGCAACTGCGATCCTGCTGGTGGGGGCTCAAAGGGACATGCCGTGCCTTGGATGTTAAAAAGGAGGAAGCAAGGCTTCTGGATAGGGAAGACTGGAAGCTTTGCAGTGGGATAGATGTTTTCTTGGGGGTGTGATAAAAAAGTCAGAGAGGTGGTGTTTTGGTGGTAGGGATGTGGTTTTCCTTTTTTTTAAGCTTTTCCTGTTGCAACAATCCTACGACTTTAGCTTGATTTGCTGTGGTTTGGGGGGGGTGGTGGTGGGGAACTTTTATTCACAAATTTCATCAGAAAATCATCAGTGTTTTTCAGATGTTCTACACTTGTAAAAAGAATCTTCCAACAGAGTAACTTTCTTCAGTCTAGCAGCTTATTGACAGACAAGCTTTCTTACAGTACTATTTGACACCTCATCCTAATATTAGTTTTACGAGCACGTTCATGTTTTAGGAAATCACTGTATTCTCAAATCTGAGATGTCAGAAGTGTCTCTTTCTCCACGTACTTGCCCCAGAAATGTTAGCTAAAATGTTTTATCTAACAGTGACTCTCCTGTTGTGTTGTACTACTTAGTTGTCATCCAAAAGCAGCTGCATCTTTATGAATGTTTCTTAATAAGCCACGTCCTGAAAGGCACTGGTATCTCTTTGTTCCTCCCTGAGTGCTCATGGGACTCATAGGTGGTCATCTAGGGTTCTAGGTGTCAGTAAATCAAGGAACGTTACACAGGCACCCCAGTTCACAGTTAGTAACACTGTACAGATGTGTTGTAGAAAGCAAGACAAACAGGAGTGGTATTTGCATCTATTTCACTCTGTGTCCAAATGAGAGGTGGGAACAAAGCATCGTCCAGGGGCCAGAGCTTGGCCTGGCATTTGTTTCATACACTCTCGGCCAGAGTAAATCTGTTGGGGATGACAGTGGATGGTGGTAAAACATACAGGTGACATGACAAATGGAAGTCCTCATCATCCCCGTAAAGGAACGGTTGTTTCCCACCCTCAGCCTGTCATATCTGTCTCTGCTTATTTCACCTGACCTTGATTTAACATTTAAAACAAGTAATTATGTGTGGCAGGTGTACGTGGCTTGTGAGCATTTTCCCTTTCTATGTCATTTTTTCCAGATTATTGGAACAATCCCACTGATGCCTAATCCAGTCCCCTCCAGCCAGGCGGCAGGTGGAGCTCAGGGCCTTCAGGTGCAGCCGATAACGCCACAGTTACTGACCAACGCCCAGGGTCAGATCATCGCGACCGTCATCGGCAACCAGATACTCCCCGTCATCAATACCCAGGGAATAACGCTATCGCCACTCAAGCCAGGCCAGCAGGTAAAGTGTCTGTAGCCTGAATGATTAGCCAAACAGATGTGCAGAAATATTCTCCTCCTCACGGACTCTCCCGTGGCCTTTCTGGAAACTCCCACTACTTTCCCATTTCTACTAACCAAATGTGAATTCTATCACACATTGTATAGTATTGCTTACTACATACGTAGTTACAATGTAATGTCATGTTCTATGATTTATTTACACACTCAGGGTTATCGAGTTATTCTGTCTTTTAAAGTTCAATATAGGGCCAACTGAGGAATTTTCTGCAGCAAAAACACAGTAGGAACATGAGGCAGGAGAGGGCCATCTGGCCTATATAGTTCAGGTCCTTTGTTAATGGTCACTCAGTAGATTGGGGTTTCAAATGTTTTGGAACATGCAAAGAAAACAAATAAATATATAAAACCTTATTAGTCTTCTTCACTGGAAATTCACATATGATTGTGAGTATTTGCGTAGACAGAAAGTATTTTTAGGGAAGTTATCATTCATTGTAAGGCACCAAGTACTTCACAGACTTCAGGATGGGTGCAGCAACTTCACTGAGGTCCAAGAAAGATTTCTGTAGTTCTTTTTATAGTACTCTGAAGTCAAATTAATTATTTTTGTCTGCATCTGTGGAGCAAAGAATTGTAGTGCTAACTTTTTTTCTCTGAAAGAGAGGAAATTGAGCATGGAAAAGACATCAAATGTGATTACCAAAAAGGTGCTTACAAAAGTGTCGCTCACTTAAATGTTCAGCTTAGCACTCCTATTGCTGGTAGTGCTTGTCTGCAAGTCCTGCCTATATTTCCAGTTGCAGGTGGCAGCCTTTTGCATGTTTCTGAGAATCCCAGGTCCCCCTGACCTCCAAACTGATGATTTTATTCTTTTCCCAAATCTAGAGGTAGAGAGCCAATTGATCTCAAAGGTGACTTTTTTGTTTGTCTTGAAAATGTGTTGTGTCCAAATGGTTACGCTCTCTTTTTTCCATGCTGTCTTCTGTGGTAGCAGAGGCCTTTCCCAAAGCCCTCATCGTTTATCTATCTCTACGGGAGCGGACTTACACTGCTACACTTTTGCAGTTGTTGCGTGTATGTGGTTTTCAACAAAGCGGGGTGGATGGGAGCACGGGCTCTGTGTTCTCCAGCACTGAAAAGCCTGACAATGGAATAAGAAACTCAGCAGTTTCCATTTGGTTCCCGGGGGGGGGATGTGGGGTGTTTCTTTTTGAGTTAAGTCCCCTGAGGAGATTAGGTCTTTCCCTCCTTTATGGGGAAGCTCTCAAAAAGCATTGCAATCCTAAGATCCCACTTGAAACCCACGAAGTTTAGGAGTAAAGAGGAGGATAGAGGGCCTGTGTTATTCCCTGAGACCTCACCGCAGAGCAACGCACCTGAGTCCTGCAGCAAAGCAACCTCTTCCAGGCAACAGCCTCTAGTAGGATAGGTGGGCAGAGAGGGGACAAAGCGTGACCTTCCTCTGCACGGCTAGCGGCACTGGGTTCACGCAGAGGGACAGACTGCTGCTCAAGGCTGCAGCTTGCTGAATGAGAGCAGGGGTTCAAGGTAGAGAGTCACTGTCTAGCTACGCCGTGCCGTACTGTACTTCTTCACCCAACCTGCATGCTCACCTGCGGGTCTGAAAACACACCATGCACCGGCACAGACCAGCAGAGCTCTGGTTAGGTCCAAGAGCCAGAGATGTGCTCCATATTGCGCTGCTCTGCCCAGCAGTGTGAGTAGAAAACATTATTTTGCAAGATCAGTTTTGCAGGGTCCAGCCTGTGCCTCTCACAGGGTCCTGAGGTCCCGAGGGTTGCGGGAAGGGCCACCAAACAACACAGAGCCTCCTTACCTACATCTGCTGGAGCCTGATCAAGACAGTATTTTTGATCGGGGGGAAAAAGAGTAATGCAAATACTATATGAAAAAAATACTATACATTAGAATTTTTATAGGAACCGCAGACAATTATTTCCGTGTATTTGTGCTCCCTCTACTGGTTCTTCTGCTTTTACTGAAGGGAGTCAGAGGAAATTTTGCCACTGATTTCAGCGGGAGCAGGGAAGAGGTATGAGAGCCAGATTCCTTATAGGTACGACGCTGTAGGACAGTCAAAAGCAATTAAGCTAGTGCTATGCAAATGGCCATAACATTTGAAAAGTAAATAGAACTACACAAAGAATAAGTAAGTTCTGAATTTGTCTTATTAACTGTGCAAAGACTTAGAGCATATTTAGTCATAAATTTAAAGTCTTGTTTTCAGAAGAACTAAGTGATCAGACTTTTTCAAAATATTTTTAAAAATTGTGTCACACCACTTGGTGTCTTGTAACTTCGATGAAAGAAGCCTCAGAAAGGGGGAAGAAGAGTACAAGTCAAGTTGGGAAAAGTTTTGAGAATGTCACAGGGAAATAAATGAGGAAATTAGGTAGTAAAATGTTCCAGTTGCAGATGATCCTAGTTTAACTTTCAACTTGTCGCTTCCTTGGAAACAAAGTGCTACAGGAGAAAGAGAGTTGATTGCAAGTGATGATAGTAAGATGCTGCTTGTTAGCTGAGTCACAATAATTGAACCTGCAGCCTGTTTCAGTTGCTAAGTAATGTGTGCTTACTTTTTGCCTGAAGACTGCAGACTTAAATGCTTCAGATACTGGTTTTAGTCAGCTTACTTAGGTAAACTGCATGTGTTATTTATTCATACAACTTTTTCAAACTTGACAGACTGAAACCTCAATGTCTCCTCGTGGAAATGAGTTCATAGATTACTTACGTGCAGTGTAAAGAAGTGCTTCTTCTCTGGGTTGTAAATGGGTTGGGTTTTAACACACACAAGCAATTCCATTGTAATCATATTCCTCTTGGTTTTAAGAATAAACAGATGTTTCTGATTTATGTTCTATAAAATACCCACAGTAGGGATTGTTCCTCTTTAAATTACAGTGAGTAGTTAAAGCTTCAGTGTTTTCACTGTTTTCCAAGATTTTGCTAATCTAAGCAGCAGCATCTATGCACACACCGAGAATTCTGGATATTGTAATGACTTTCCGAAGCAGACAGCTATGTGCGCTCCTGTTGTAGTCTGTGTCCTTTTTATCTCTGTTCATAAATAAGGGTTTTTTTGCCTTTAATAATTTTTACTGCTCATCTCCCAACCATTTCAATTTCCACACTAATCTCTCGGAGATTTTGTGATCAGAACTGAATGCCATGATCACAGTGAGGATGCATCACTGTTTTACATAATAACATTATAATATTTCCAGCATTATTTTCTGTCTTTATCTCAATACAGCCTAAAATCCTGCTTTTTTCTAACTACCTCTGCTCATTGAGCAAGCTTTTCAATAGGAAGATGTACCCACCATAATACATCTTTGCTTCCCTGATTGTTACCATATGAGTCACAAAAATTATTCCTTTTAATGTGAATCAATTTGCACCTATCTACTCTCTATTTCATCTCTCATAATGCTCCCCTGGTGTCTTATAAGCAAGATCTGTAAGTTGTTCATGGTATTCTGCACTAACTTAAGAAATTTATGTGTTCCTCCCACTGACTGAACTTCATCATTGTTCATTATTTTAAAAAAATAGTATAAATCCTTTGATCTCTACTTGTAGTCTCCTTTCATGAAAAATTATCATTTATCCCCTAATTGTACGTTTCTTGCTTTTTAAAGCTGTTTATAGCGTCACAGAATCTTTGAATCTTTTAGGTTGAAAAAGACCTTTAAGATCATCAAGTCCAGCCATAAACCTAACACTGCTAATCCCACCACTAAACCATGTCCCTAAGCACCTCATCCACAGGTCTCACCTTCAGGGATGGTGCCTCAACGACCTCCCTGGGCAGCCCCTTCCAGTGCTTGACAAACTTTTCTGTGAAGTAATTTTTCCTAATATCCAATCTAAACCTCCCTTGGCACAACTTGAAGCCATTTCCACTTGTCACTTGGCAGAAGAGCCCAACATCCACCCCTCTGCACCCTCCTTTCAGGGAGCTGCAGAGAGCCATCAGGTCTACCCTCAGCCTCCTTCAGGCTGAACACCCCCAGCTCCCTCAGCCGCTCCTCATCAGACTTGTTCTCCAGACCCTTCCCCAGCTCTGTCGCCCTTCTCTGGACACACTCCAGCATCTCTGTGTCCTCCTTGCAGTGAGGGGCCCAAAACTGAACACAGCGCTCGAGGTGCGGCCTCACCAGTGCCCAGTACAGGGGGAGAATCACATCCCTAGTCCTGCTGGCCATGCTGTTCCTGATGCATGTTCCTCTATGCCTCTGAGGAGGGATTTTGTCAGCAATAGGTTGTATGGCTAAATGCACATTTTCTTTCAAGAGCAGATGAGCTTGTTGTAACAACTTGTTAGCATTATCATGTGCTATCAGATTTTAAAACCTTGGTTTAAGGTGTTCTTTCATATCTTTAACACCAACACAACTGACAGAAGAACTTGAACCATGAACTGGAGTCATGAAATTTAGGAAAGGATTCTTCTTGCTTAACTTAGTCATAGATCAGTTAGGCATCTGGTGGAAGCTACTTAACTAGATTTATTGTAGAGACAAAGAGACATAGACAAGGAGACGTGTGCATGTCCAAGGGGCAACCCAAGCAGTCAAAATACAATAATTTTAAAATAGCTTGAATCTGTAATAGGTGTCTTAAGCTATTGTCTCCATTGATGTGAGAGGGGGCTAAGGTATCTATTTCAGGATAGACAATTAATTCTTAAATGAGTGAAATTAGATAAGAAGAATCTAGCTGCCAGTGATCACTGGGGTTCAAAGTACATTCTTGTTGGTGAATTCCTTAAACAGTTTTCCTAATAATTGGTGTGTTCATCACTACGTGCATGCCCTCAGCACACAGAAGCAACTTCTACACCTTATATTGTTCTACCAGTGTATCTCACCATCAGGTTCCTTTCTTGCTGTTGCCGGGCTCTTTCCTTCTGCGTACTAGATTCATTAAATCAGGCCTGTAGTCCCAGTTGTTCTCAGTCTTGTTTCATCT